GCGCGGCTCCCCAGGGCGTCGCGACGGGCAGCGGGGGCCGCGCGCAGCTCCCCACGGCGTCGCGACGAGGCAGCGGGGGCCGCGCGCGGCTCCCCAGGGCGTCGCGACGGGAAGCGGGGGCCGCGCGCGGCTCCCCAGGGCGTCGCGGCGGGAAGCGGGGGTCGCGCGCGGCTCCCCAGGGCGTCGCGACGGGCAGCGGGGGCCGCGCGACCGTCGACAGGGGGCGACGCGCGGGTCGACAGGGCAGAAAACTGCCGCGCGCCCCGAGCGCACGGCGGGAAGAAAAAATCGCCGCGCGACCGGAGCGTGCGGCAGGCAGGAAACAGCAGGAAACAACAGCGGAAGCATCGTGGGGCCCACAGGCCAAGAGCGTAACAGCTCTGATACCATGTTGAAATACTAAGCATAACCTAAGACTAGGAGCCTAGGGTTTAGGGTACACGAAAGAGAAATATGAGAGAAGGGGCTTGAACTAGAAAGGAGAGGGGTACAAATAGCAAGCCCTAAAAGGGTTTACTCACTATTGAGTACCCCACTACAGACTAGACAAGCATTATATTCTGACACTTGAACCACCTTGCGCTGGTACGTGAGGGCAAATTAGATTGATTAAAACAAGGGGATACATAGTTTTATAATTTAATAGTACAAGGAATATGAAGAGATAGAGCAAATAATGGTTTTACTGTTGCTGTTGCGGTTCGATACAGTGACGACTCGGGCAACTGCTCAATAACGAGTCAGTTGTTTGTCCTTGCTGTCGCGCTGTACTTGTCAGGTCAAAGGTCGCTGACCTTTGACTTTCGCGTAACCTCCAGCAGTTGCTCAACTTCCGAGGGTTGACTCGTTGATGCTCCATTGTGTTTCGCCTCGTTTACGTCTTAGTGTTTCGACTCGACAGAGGCGCTTAAATCACTTGCTTCGAACACTCCCCTTCGCTTCTGGAGTGTCGCTGCTGGTGACGTGGCCCTGTCCAGTCAGCAGCATGCAGTACTCGAACTTCTGCTTTCCGAGCTTCTTGGTCAAGTAGTCGGCTGCCATCTCGGACGTGGGGCAGTATGACAGCTCGAGTCTCCCCTTCTCGATCTCGTCCTTCACGAAGAAGTATCGCAGGGCGATGTGTTTCGTCCTGTTCGCGAATCCGTTCTTGTTGGCTATCCGGATTGCTGACTGGTTGTCGCAGGAAAGGGAGAAGCTGGGTAACTGAGCCAGCTTCGCTTCTTCCAGCAGTTCGCGAAGGTACAGCCCTTCCTTGCTGGCTGAGCGAAGTGCGATATATTCGGCGTCGACGAATCCAATTAATTTGGGCGTTATAGTACCGGTCTTGTGGTAGGTTAGGCCGATCGTCGGGGTGCTGACGAGGTAGTGAAGAGCGCGGTCGAGCTCCGCCATGTGTTCCGCTTCAGGTTTCTTGAGGTAGGTGGCGAGTTGACTCGCAGAGTACGATAGATCCGGACGGCAGGTGACGGCTGCGAAGAGGAGGCATCCCAGCTTCCTCTGGTAGTCGCGTATGCCGGCGGGCTTGAGTAGAGCGGAGCCTTCCTTGTGATTTCCTGCGGTGTAGCGGTATGGAGTGGAGATGGTGGTCGGGGTGAGTCCAAAACACTTGGCGATGGTGTCGGCGTATTTCGCGGCACTGAGGTAGATTGCGTTTTCTTCTTCCTGAATGTTGAGGCCGAGGTATTGCGTGACGGTGGATGAGACCGTGAGGGTGAGATCCTTTCACAGCTCCCCTTCGAACCAGGTAGTGACGTCATCAGTTGAGCTGATGTAGAGCAGATCGTCTACGTAGACGATGAGCAGAATGTAGTCGTTGCCCTTTGTGAGTCGGTACATGCCCTGGTCGTGCGGTAGCTGGCGGAATCCGATGCGGATGAGTCTAGCGTGCAGGTACTGCTGCCCCAGTCTCGGGGCCTGTTTGATGCCGTACAGGGACTTCAGCAGCTGACAGACTTGGTTGGGCTCTCCGTTGGAGCCGTGCGGTAATTCGACGAAGATTTCGGCGTCAACAGGTGCGGAGAGAAATGCATTGGCGATGTCGATTTGACGTAGCTTCTTCTTCTTCAAGGTGGCGATCGCGAGGAGAATCCGCAATGAGGTGTGTCAGCTAACCAGTGCGAACGTCTCCGTGAAGTCGCTCTTGGTCGAAGCCGTGTACGACCCAGCGCGCCTTAAACTTGTCGATGGTGCCGTCTGCTTTAGTTTTCACTCGGAAAACCCATTTTCTGGTGAGTACCGTCTTGTTGCGTGCCACGCCGATAGGAACGACCTTCCAGGTGTTGCGTTCTTCGAGTGCCTTTAATTCTTTGTCCATGGCTTCGCGCCATTTTTCCCTATGCTCCCCCCCCCCCCCGCCTACTGAACTGTGGCAGGCTCCTTAGGAATCGCCGTGCCGTGAACCGCGGTGACGAGACCAAGTATCTGGAGGCCACACTGTTTGTAGCGGGGGAGTGTTGTATCCTCGGGATAAACTACTTCATCTCCCGCTTTTGGATCAGGATTAAAGTTAGGTCCTATGCGTTCTGCTTCGTCGGTGTTGACTTGTGCAGGTGTAACGTAACCGTTGTCGGCGAAGTGGTAGTAGGCGTCGGCGTTGATGCTTTCGCGGGGATTTTCGTCATCCATCGGGACGTCAACGGAGCAGTAGGGAAGAGGTCCGGCTTCTTCCGAGGCTCCTTCCACATTCTGCTCGTCCCAGTCAGCTTCGTCTGCTGCCGAGGCGAAGGCTCGGTCGCCAAGAAATCTATCCGAGAGGTCCGGATTTCCTTCTTGCAAGTTGGCAAGGTACGTCGGGAGGGTGAGGTTTTCGTAGAAGATGACATAACGTGCTGCCACTGTTTCCTCTGTGTTGATGTCAAAGATTTTCCACGCGTTGTAGTGTTTTTCGATGCCCAGGTGTAGCCCCCACTGTGCGCGTTGGGAGAATCGGCCGGCTCGTGCAGATGGGGGTCGGTACTGTACCATGCAGCCGAAGACTCGTAACATTTTTGTGCTGCCCAATTTTCCTGTCCACAGCAGATGCGGTGATGCGTTGTTCGGGAGCGATGATGACGAGAGCAAGTTGTGCAGCATCACAGCGTGGTCCATTGCTTCGGGCCACTGGTGGTTGGGTAGCCGCATGCCACGTAGCAGCTTGCGCATGGTGTTCTGGAGGGTCCTGTTCATCCTTTCTGCTACACCTTGCTGTTGATGGGCGTAGGGAAGGGAGATGAGCCGCTTGATCCCTCACTCTGTTAGGTAGTCCTTGAACCTCTGTGACTAGTATTCTCCTCCCCCATCTGACTGGAAGCTTTTGAGTTTTACTCTTGACTCTCGTTCTGCAGCTGGAAGTCAGGCGACGAACGCTTCGAATGCCATGTCGCGACTTGGGAGGTTGAGGTGCCAGACGTAGTGTGTGGGGGCGTCGATGAACGTGATGGTGTAGTTAAGTGCTCCTTGTCCAGGTTCGCGGTTGTATAGTATATCGCTGTACACTTTCTCCAGAGGTGCGTATGCTGGCGCGCTTCGGTTGTGGTGCGAGACGAACGGCTGATGTGGTAAGTCGGCTTCAGGGCAGGTGAAGCATGTTCCTCGAACTCGTTAAAGTTCCCTGCCGTCAGTTAGAAGTAGTGAGTCTTTGTCGAGCACGCCTGCTCTTATCGTGTTATTTAACGTCGTGTTGCTTGGGTGTCCCATCCTTGCGTGCCAGGTTCCTTCGGTGGCGCGATGTCCGGGTGAGCGCCGATACATGTCGGAGTTGGAGTAGAAGCTGGCGGTGAAGTTGGCGCTTCGGTGGACTTCTCGTGGAGTCGGATTGAGCTGCTGTGCGGGAGTCGGTGGCGTGTCGTTGATGGAGACCGGTGTTGTTGAAGGTCCAACAATTAGTGTCGGTGTTGTTTCTGCTGCTGCTGATGTTGTCTCTGCTGCTGCTGATGTTGTCTCTGCTGCTGCTGATGTTGTCTCTGTGGAGATAACTCTAGCAACGGGAGCTTGACTACGGGGAAGGCACGTGCGTGAGAGGTAGCCCTTCGTTCGTTCCTTAGTCGTTTCCTTGTGCGCACACTACTTGCTAGTTCATGGGGAGAATTAGCAAGATGTCCACTAGGAAAAAACATCACAACAAAGGTTCAGAATGATAGCAACAACATTGGCATGCATCACTACATCAGAGCTAGCTAGGCTGCTGGTCGACCTCCAGCGCAGCACGGTCGACCACGTTCCAGCGCAGCAAAGCTCGCACCGCTCCAGCGCTGCAGAGATGCGGCGCGCCAACGTTGCAAGTCCACGGTGTGCCAACGCTGCAGCAAGTCGGCTGCACAGCGTTGCACCCGCAGGACAACGGTGCACCTGCTTCGCAGGTGTGCGCGGCTGGTTGGCGTCCAACTCCTCGTCACGTGCCCAGCGCAGACATTCCCGCCCGTGACGGTGCCTTGCCACGTCGACCTCGGGATACCACCCCCGAGGTCGGCCTCGCAGAAACCACCCCCCGGCGACAGTCGCACACGTCGACCGGGTATCCTGGTCGACCGGGCAACCCCGCCTGGTCGTCGCACACTCGCCCAGGACGCCGTCCAGGCGCCCAAGTCGGCGTCCAGGCGCCCGGGACGCCGAGCAGACCCCCAGGTCGGCGTCCCACCTCCCAGGACGCCGAGCAGAGGCTCTAGTTGGTGCCCAGGCGCCCAGGACGCCGAGCAGACGCCCAGGACGCCGTCCAGACGCCAAGGACGGCGTCCACCTGCTCGGCGCCCTCCAGCCAGGCGCCTCCCAACACCACGCCCTTGCAGTGGCCCCCGTGCCCACTGCTGCAGGTCGGCTGCATCTCCCCCGTACACCCGACCACGAGGTCGGCTCCGCCCAAGCGAGGACGGGGCCACACAACACTCCCGTTGACACTCCCCTGCCGCGTTCACGCTTGGGCCCCCAGCCCACACGGCAGAACCACTCGACGAATAGCTCGGCGATGTGCACTCAACACACAGCACGCCGGTCACCGCACCAGCCATACAAGAAGGGCATGGCACCTACTGCTGCACGTCGTCGTCGTCGCCGACTTCGGCCAGGCGCACTTGGCCGATCGCGACGGAGCACCGGTTGAAGGCCGGGTAGTGCAGCGCCTTCGTTAGAAAGTCGGCTGGCTGCTCAGCGGTCGGGATGTACTGCAGCGCAAACTTCCCCCGCTTTACCATGTGCTGCAGCCAAGCCTGTCGCCGCTCCATGTGCTTGAGGTTGCCCGTCAACCCCATGCCCTCGGCGACCGTGATGGCCGACTTGTTGTCCACTCGCAGGACAGTCGGCTTCCCGGCGTCCAGCTGCCGGAATTCTGCCAGGAGGAAGCGAAGTCGGCGTCCTTCCTTCCCGGCGTCGACGGCCGCCACGTACTCCGACTCGGTCGATGACAGCGTCGCGCACTTGATGCGCTGGCTCGACCAGGAGACTGCGGCCCCTCCGTAGATGAACACGTAGCCTCCCGTGCTCGTCCGGTTCTGCTTGTCGCCGGCGTCGTCGGCGTCCACGTAGCCGACTAGCTCCAGCGACTCCGGACCACCGCCGAACTCCAGGGCGGTGTCGCGCGTGTTGGCGAGGTAGGCAAGGCAGCGGTCGACCTCGCGCCAGTGCTGATCGCTCCTCACCGTGAGGCCGCTCCCCAACTTGCTGCAGGCGAAGGCGATGTCCGGCCTCGCAAACTGCAGCGAGCCGACCTTCTGCCGGTACTCCTCCTCCTCGCGCTCCTGAGCCTCCTCGTCGTCGAAGGTAAGCTCGGCGTAGGCGTCGACCGAGACCGGCGTCTTCGGCGTGCGCCCAGTCTGCTCCTGGTCGAGGAAGCGCCTACGCAGCTTGTCGGCGTAGCCCTGCTGGTGCAGCCACAGCTTCCTCGCCGGCCTGTCGCGCACGATCTCCAGGCCGAGGTACTTCTGCACCGGCGAGATCTCGCACAGCTCAAACGCGGCCTCCAGCAGCTTCTTCAGCTCCTTCAGCATCGCGGCGCTGCTGCTGGCGGCGAGCAGGTCGTCGACGTAGACCAACACCCAGCAGGTCACACCGTCGTCGCCGACCTTGAAGTACATGGCCTTGTCGACCTAGCTCTTCTTCCACCCGGCGCCAACCAGCACGTCGTTGAGCGCCAAGTACCACAGCAGCGGCGACTGCTTCAGCCCGTACAGGCTCTTCAGCAGCTTGCACACCCGGCCGGTTCCGTCGTTGAAGTAGTCCGGCTGCGACATGTACAGCACCCGGTCGAGCTTGCTCTGCAGGAAGGCGTTCTTCATGTCGAGCTGCATCAGGTTGAGGTTGAGCACGGCGACGATGCTGAGGAAGATCCTCAGCATGACGTAGCTGCCCACCGGCGCGAATGTCTCGTCGTAGTCGGCGCCGTACACCTGCGTGAAGCCCTTCACGACCAGCCTCACCTTCCCACGCTCGACGATGTCGTCGATGCGGTACTTCGTTGTCAACACCCACCGGTTCTGCGTGATGTTAACTCCCGGCGGGCATTCAACCAGCTCCCATGTGCCCATGGCGAGGAGACTGCGGATCTCCTCCTCCATGGCGGCCTTCACCGCCGGGCCCTTCCAGCTCGCCAACGCCTCCTTCACCGTCATCGTCGCGATGTCCCAGCGGTGCTCGGGGTCGGCGTGCATGTCGGGGTCGAGCTCCGGAAACTCCTCGTCGTCCTCGGCGTCGTCGTACGCCAGGTCGTCGTCGTCATTGTCGTACAGCGTGGTGAAGGCGGCCGCCGGGAGGCAGACATGGTAAGTTAGCCGCTCCGGTGGCCTCCGGACTCGGCCTGAACGCCGCAGTGCAGGCTGCTCGGGGTTAACCTCCATTTCGTCGCTGCCGGCAGCCAGCCCAGCGTCCGACTGCTCCCCTTCAGCTTCGCCGGCTTCACTGTCCTCGGCGTCCTGCTGCACCGCGGTCAGCTCGCCCTGCTGCACCGCGGTCGGCGCCCCAACCGATGTCTCCCCTGCGGACAGCTCCCCTGCCGACTGCCAGGTCGCCGACTGCTCCTTGGTGTGCCGTGCTGCTGCCTGCTGCTTTCCCGGCGTTCATCTGTCGACTTCACTTCCAGGCCGACTTGCTGGGCGTCACGGCGGCCACCGGCGATGCTCTTGGTCGGCGCCACAGGCGACGCCCCACTGCTCCCCTCATCGCCGGAGGCCGACACCGGAGTCAGCCCACGCAGATCAGCGACGAGGGGAGGGGCAGGGGAAGGGTGGACGACCTCGGCGTCCTCATCAGCAAGCTCACCGACCTCGGCGAGCAGAGGCAGTGTCGCCGTCGAGGTGTCGGTTGGTGGGGTGGTCGGCGTCCGTCCTGACACCGGCCCGTGCTCCGACTTCCACACCTCCAGCGACATGTCCTCGTAGAACACCACGTCCGACGTGGTGACCACCCGGTTGGCAGCGATGTCGAGGAGCTCCCATCCCTTGCTCGCCTCCGAGACGCCGAAATGAAGGCCCCACCGGGCTTTCGGCTTCAGCTTCCCACCACGCTGCTGCTCGGGGACGAGGAACTACGCCATGCAGCCCCACACGCGGGCCAGCGACAAGTCCGGCTTCTTCCCGGTGAGCAGCTGGAACGGCGTCGTTCGCGGCGTCGCCGACCGCTCCAGGCAGTTGCGGACCCAAACGGCCTGCCGCAGAGCAAGGTGCCACCAGTGGTGCTGTACGCCCATGTGCAGCAGCATCGTTCGCACCGACTCCACGACCGTCCGCATCTCCCGCTCCGCCATGCCGTTCTGCTGCGGGGTGTAGGGGCAGGTCAGGTCGTGGAGGATCCCCTTGCCGTCCACGAGGGCGGTGAAGTCCTTCCCGAGGAACTCCCCTCCCCGGTCAGAGCGCAGCTTCAGCATGACTTCTTTGTCTGCCGCTCAACCGTCACCAGCCACTGCTCAAACTCCCGCAGCACGTCGGACTTCTTGGCGACCGGCTTCACCCACACGTAGCGGGTCTTGCGGTCCTTCAGCAGCAGGAAGTACAGGCTGCCATCCATAGCGGCCACGCAAAACAGCCCGCACAGGTCGATGCGCACGACGGCCAGGGCGTCCTCGGCGTCCGAGCCCTTGTCGGGGAAGGAGTGCCGTGCAAGCTTCCCGCCGACACACGAGACGCAGGGCGAAGTGGCGCCGGACGCCGACTTGAGGTCCAGCCCGGTGGCGTTCTCGTGCTTCGCCGAGCTCCGTATGGTGTCCATGCCGACGTGCGCGAGCCTCGCGTGCAGCCTGTCCGGCGTCGCCTTCGTCGCCGAGACGATTGCCCGCAGGGCCACTTCCTCCGCTGCAGGCGTTGCCGGGCAGAGACGCAGGTCGGTGCAGAGAACCCGGCCGGAGTACGTTGCTCGACCGAGCACGTCGCCCGTCGCCGAGACGAGCAGCATGCCGTCGCCGTCCTCCTTCAGCTTCACGCCGTTCTCCTTCAGTTGACCGGCCGACAGCAGGTTCGCGTGCACACCCGGGACGTAGAGCACGTCGGGGATGAGCACCCGCTTCCCGGCCTCCCCTTGCAGCGCAACCGTGCCCCGTCCCTTGACGTCCTGCAGCGCCCCATTGAAGTCGCGCACGTGTTTAACGTCGCCGCTCGGCCCCATGTCGACGAAGACCTCCTTCGTCCCAATCATGTGGTGCGAGCAGCCGCTGTCCAGCAGGACCACCGCCGGGTTCGCCTGCACGGCTGCTGCCAACGCCTGGAAATCCTCACCGGCCTCCGGCGCCAGCGAGACGGTCGGCTCCACGACGCCGACCAGCGAGCACGACGCCTCCCCGTCGCCTCGCCCCTTGCCGCTAGCAGAGGAGTCGGCGTCCTTCGCCGTGGTCGACGTGGTCGACTGCTTCTCCTTGCGCGGCTGGTTTCCTCGACGTGGACGACGGCTGGCCGACCTCCCGCGGCCTCCCTTGGCGTCGTCGTCGTCGGATTCGCTGCGGTCGGGGCACTCAAAGGAGAGGTGGTCGGGGCTGTGGCAGATCCAGCACTCCCGACGCCGACTTCCCCCGCCGCGACCGCCTTCCTTCGCCGACTTACCCTTGTCGGCGTCCTTGGCCGGCTTCCCACCTCCGCTACCACCGCTGCCAGGCTTACCGCGCTGCCCTGGTCGGCTACCTTGCTTCGCCGGGGCGGCGTAGTTTGCCTGCAGCAGGAGCTCCGTGGACTTCTCGGCCTCCTGCATCGCCTCGTCCTGCAGGATGTACGAGGTGAGGGAGTCTTCGTTGAGTGTCGCCCGTGTGCTCGGCGCCACCGACAGCCTCTTCAGCAGGTTGTAGCTGCCCGGGAGCCCCTTTAGAACGTGCTGTCGGAATCAACAGACAGGAATGATTGAACTAACAGTGAAATCAGTACAAGTACCTAACCCTAGAATTGTGTACCCCCTATAGGCTAACCCACTGTAGCCTAAACAAACACAACATATATAATGTTTGACACACCCCCATAGGCAAAGTGGGGGAGAGCAAGGGGTCACAAGACCAGTCAAAGCAAAGCAAAACAAGCTCAGGGTGGATCTCAAGGATACCACACAAATTCCGAGCACAAGCAAGTGGTCACAAGACCAGTTCACATGCAGGTTGATAATATAACAAGAGATACAGTGATCACAACCTAGCAAGTGTAAACATGCAGGCATATATATAAAGATCACAGTACAAGCAGAGTCAAGAAGTAAGTAAGTGAGGTCCAGCAGGCACAAGGCCTAGAAGAGTACAGAAACGCTGATGGTCACAAGGCTGAAGCGCCTTGGTGAACACATCAGCAAGGTTGGCCTCAGTGGCCACGTAACGCAGACGAAGCTGACCACGCTGCTGCAGCTCTCGAGCAAGGAAGTACCGCAGGGCGATGTGCTTCGTTCTGTGCTCCAATCTGTGCTCCTCACACAAGGCAATGGCAGCCTGGTTGTCGACGTACAGCACTGGAGGAGAACGAGGCCGCTCTCCCAAGTCGGTCAGCAGGTAGGTCAGCCAGCGTAGCTCCTGGGCAGCCATGGCTGTGGCGTAGATCTCAGCCTCACAACTGGAGCTGAGAACAGAAGAAGAGCGTGTAGAACGCCAAGAAACTGAGCCGGAGCCAAGGCTGAAGGTGTAACCCTGAGACGACCGCTGAGTAGCCTGGTCGTCCGCCCAAGAAGCGTCTGAGTGTCCAGTAAGTACAACTCGGTCTCGCCCTCCAAGCACTAGCCCCATGCCCGACGTACTGCACAAGTAGCGCAACACCCTCTTAGCGGCATCCATGTGCTCCTTCCTGTGACGGCCAGGAGCGACATAGCGTGCAAGGATGCTAAGAGGGTATGCAAGGTCAGGTCGCGTGCAGGTCATCAGGTACATGAGGCAGCCCACAAGCTCTGGATACGGGCCACTCGGCTCTACGGACTCATCCGAAGGCAGAGCTGAGAGCGAGTGACCGGTAGGTAGAGGAGTGGACTGAGGCGAGGAGTACGTGAAGCGGAAGCGCTGAAGGATCTGCTGCACCATGTGTGACTGAGTCAAGGTGATGGTGCGCCGTGCTCTGTCCCGAGTGATCCGCAAGCCAAGATAGCTTGTCAATTCACCCAGGTCTGTGCACGTGTGTCTCTTCTGCAGCTCCGACTTCACGTGGGCGAGTGCCGCAGTGTCAGCAGTGGCAAAGACCAAGTCGTCGACATACACGAGGATGTAGAACGGCGGCAGCGAGGTGTCGGTGCGTAGAAACAGCGACGGGTCAGCAGTAGAGGGAGCGAACCCAAGAGTCGCAAGTGTCGTCCTCAGTGTGTCGTGCCACTCATGCGGAGCCTGGCGGAGACCGTAGACCGGCCGCTGGAGCCTCCACTGGGTACCAGGAGGAACCGACCCAGTGAAGCCAGGAGGGCGGCGTAGCCAGATCTCCTCGTGCAGGCTGCCCTGCAAGAAAGCAGTGCTGAAGTCAAGTGAGTGAAGCTCGTAGTCGCGCTGAGCGGCTATGTGCAGCAGCACCCGAAGAGTGGTCATCTTCGGGGTGGGGGAGAAGGTCTGGAAAAAGTCAACTCCCTCTCGCTGACTGAAGCCTCGAGCCACGTAGCGCGCCTTGAAGACAGGAGGAGAACCCGGCGGCCGCTTCACCCTGAAAAT